CCCCCCCCCCCCCCCCCCCCTCCCATTCAGAAAGAATCGATTGACCCAGTTGACGACAAAAACACTTGAACAAAAACAAACCCGACTCGAAATCCCTGCACAAGAAAAAAGGACGAAACCAACCGATAACGAAAACGAACGAAACACGAAAAAACAATTCTAGACCCCACCGAACGGCATCCAATCATTCCTCCCCGCCCCCCCTCTCTCTCTCTCTCGACCGTTTGGTAACGTGCATTTACACCCAAAACCTGATCTGCCATGCTTGGGGACGCCCTCGAATCAAGAAGTATTATGGCAGGGCAACGGAAACCTGGCCACTAAAACACGCATTCTGACTTTGATCAACAACAAACAAACGAGCTATATTATTGGTGGCTTTTTAACCTCGCGAGACTAAAAAAAAACAATAGAAAAAATAAATCGAGTGCGACCCCGCCGTTTCGCTTCACTCCGCAGGCCTTCTGGCCCCCTCGGGGCAGTGGTAAGTGAGAGACCGGCTCACGTGACCCCCACCGCCCCCACCGATCAACGGGACGACACTCGGCATCATCCGATAGGCACAAGCGAAAAGCACTGCTGGTTAACACGGTGGGCAAGAGAACGGCGAAAAAAAAAACTACTAAATACTGCCGTCCTACTGTCCAGTGCCCCACCATAAAAAACAAAACAAACACGTGGAAACAAAATTGAAAACACCAATGCGTAGGTCGAAGTTGACCACCTTACGCGCCGGGCATATTTTTGTCTGCAGCGCATCAAAAACAATCAAAGTCGGGTGAATCTCCCCCCCTCCCCCCCCCTTCCCCCGTTGCCTGTATAGTACCACAAGAAAAAAAAATAGACGGCAAAACTGGTGCATAGGGCAAAAATATTCGACAAGACAGGCAACAATTGAGGATGTGTGACCCCCGTCTTGGTATGACATGTGCTTCCCGCATGACCCCCCCCCCAGCAGGAAAAGCTTGGGCGTACATTCTCACGTTGGTCAAAAAAGATTTCAAAAAAAAAAAAAAAACAGCACTCGAATGATCTGCCGTCGGACCGGGAAAAACGCCCACAGACAGGCACACAAGCACCACGGTGCAGAAAAAATCACAACAGACATCGTCAAGAAACCATGAAAGTCGACGATAACTTGTCATACGCACGTGTGAGCCCAAAATGCCACCCGCCAACATGAAAACCTCTTCATTCACACTTTGCGCGAGGGTAGCAATGAGAGTAGCGGGAAGCCGCGGGGGGCGTCCCCTCCTCCTCCCCCGTACATGGAAAAAAAACTGCTCTGTGACTGCTGCGGCTCTTGCCTGACCCCATCAAGGTGTGTTCCCACTACAGTACGCTGACCAACACAGAAAACCTACCGCCGAAAGGCCGCGTGGCGCAAGAAGCATGCGCCGGGTGCTTAGTACCCCGTTATGGTAGTGACGGGCAAATAGAACGGGGTCGTCGAACAAAAGACGCGTCTGCCAAGAGTATCAAAAGAGGCACCAACGCCATCTCCAGCTGTAGAGACTAGAGACACATGCCCATGCGTTCTATCCGTACCCTCCCAAGAAAAAACGATTTTGTGCCCTGGTGAACGCCCTGCATTTTCGACAAATACACAGGCGGACGAGCGTGCGAGGATACATTCTATGAGGAATCCCTCCCCTCCCCCCCCCATCTCCACTCGAACCCCCGGTGGCGTCGAGTACAAAACTGGGAAAAAATTGATGTGCCTGTGATATCACCCCCCCCCCCCCCCCCCCTCCCCTTTTTTCCAAAAATTCTATCCCCCCAAAAAATGGGAAAACTCCTGTGTAACATATT